TCATGCAAGCTAAGAATCTTAACTTTTCTTCAGCAGTGTCCCCGTGGGCTCATATTAGCCTTGTAGACCAAATTAAAACACTAATGTTTGGGAGTTGTTATTGTTGTTGTTTTTTAATGTGAACTCGTGTTAACCCATACGTCTCTCTTCTCTGTGGAATGTGCAGTTGTAAAAAGGTTTAACCTAAGTGCTTAAGGTTCTATTTATATTTGTTAAATTTTATCTGTTTTTCATTTCTCATGCTAGCCTGTTGAGAGTATTTTATATTTTGATTCTTTTGTCTAATAGATTAGGTGTCTCTGTAAGCCTTTAGTCTCAAATGCAGTAAGCATCTGTTCTCCTTCAAGTCACAAATTTGTAGAACTTTCTATCTAAAAGGGACCCAAAATATCAACAATCCAGGCCCTTTGTCTTAAAGATAAGGAAACTTCAGTCCAGAGAGCAGGCTACATAACTCTCCCCAATCAGGCAGTTCATTGATGGAAGGAAGATTATGACCTTAAAAAAAAGGGCTGGTGAGCAGGTCTGTGAACCAAGTCTGAGACACATGTCATCACCAGCAGTCTTTGGTGGGTGCTCGAACATTCAACAGTAAACTTGAGGGACAGTTCTCCAACTGTAACTGAGGATGCATTATCTTCCAGCTGTCTGCTGGCACTGACACACCTTGATAAGTCTTATAGACATTAACACCTCAAATAAGAAGTCAAGTTGCCTTAGAATGACTTGTTTTTAGTGAACTATCCTGGCTACTTGTAATAAACTACAACCATTTCCAAGTAATTAGTTTAAAAAAATGTTTAATAAGCCAGTCCATTTTCCAGTTCATGGTCTTTACAATCCATCTGAAAAATTAGAACAGTTCTCCCACTTTCAGTCTTCTGATATTTCTATTTCTTTTCAGTACAACAAATTGGGTATCATATTTAAACACCAACAAACCCAACCATCTGAAACTTTAAAATATACCTACATTACAGTTGAGCCAATGGACTATTTAGAAAATGTGTGGGAAAAACTTTGATGGTATGGCTATAATCAAATATATATCTTTAATGCTTTTATTGGGAAAGAGGGAAATGAACAAGGGAATGGATGGATGGATGGATGAATGAATGAATGAATGAATGAACGAACGAACGAACAAACCAAGCATTCAAACTCTGGGAACACAAGAAAGGAAATAATAAGAAATATAAGAACTAGCGTATAGAGAAAGTTAATTACAATTAAATGGAAAACTCTTTCTCTGACAAAAATATAAATAAGCATGCAATAAAATTTTATTGTAAAAGGAGTTAAGTAAGCAAATATACCTAATATCAGACCTAAAAGTAAATACATAGATAGAAAGGAAGAAAGCCTGAGGTGGTATCAAAGTTTAGATAACAGCAAAGGAAAATCTCCATGGTTGTGGAGAATTTTTATAAATGTGATCATGTGATAATGTTTTGGCTTTTTTTTTTTTTTTAAGCTTTAGAAAAGTTTTAGAAGTTGAATGAAAACAGCTGATAACTCTGGCCGTTAAGAAGATATTGGAAACACTAGAAGTTCTCAGTAAAATGTGGGTTAGAAAGTCAGGCTATAAGAGATCAAGTGGGTAGGAAGAGGCAGCAAGAGTCACCCTGTTTTAGAAAGTGAACCAAAGGCACCCAGCAGTGAAGCCAGTTTGGGTTCTGATACAGGTGTTTTAAGGACTCTTGAATCTTCAGAAAAATGTCCCATTGCTACTGACTTAACCTACTAAATGTGGCTGTGCGAGAAAAGTAAGGTCTTGCCAACAATTTGAAAACAATCCTTCCTATGTGGTACTATTTTTATTGTTACTTGATAATTGTATGTAGTAAATAGTAGTAATGAAAGACTGATTACACAAAATTAGTTATGCATTAGATTTATATAATGTCTAGTTAACTCCAGAGTCCTCTTACTATTTATTTCAACAGTGCTTACACATTGCACTCTCTTGTTAATCCAGCCCAGTACTCAATGTCCATCAGATCTCTGACAAATGCATTGATTTTCATTAACTTCGCACACATGACTTCATAATGTACATCACAGCCAATAATAGTTGTTGCAAATTGATTAGGATTTCTTGTAAAGAATGCTGCTACAGATATATAAGATCTATGTTTAGCTACCTTTGGCCAAAAAATTATCATCCTGCAAAACAAACTATGGCATGTTTTTCCTAGAAGTACATGTTTTATAGTTGTTTATATCTGAAAAGAGAGTCACCTTCAATAGTTGTTTTGAGAAGAAAATATTCTTCTGGAAGCGGTGGGTAGTGGATGAGGGAAAAGTTGGTTAAAAACAAAAATCTTCAGAAAAGGAAAAGTGTTTATCCCTTTTTAAGAGGTATTCAGATGAAAAATTGCTCGGCATGAGCTTGATCTATATGTTTTTCATGGTTATTAGTAGTAATGAAGATGCATTAACCGTACTCTCTTGATAATGCTCTAGCAGTTTCTTGGTACTTTTACCAACATAAATTTTAGAACTGGCAGTATGGGAATTTGACTAGTACATTTTTGTTTATAAAAAAGGGTAACAACATTATAACTTCTTCATATCTGTGAATTATGAATCTTGACTTGCAAACAAGCAAAAACTAAAATGCAATAGAACTTCAATATCATGATCGCTCTTCTCCCTACTGCTGCACACAAGACATGGGAATGCGTGCAGGCTGCTGAGTGGAATACAATGCCAGAGGTGAATGCCTTCTTAATCCACAATTTATGAGTTCTTTTCATTTCCTTCATTCATTTTTCAATAAACATGTATTGAGTGCCTTCTCTGTTGCTAAGCTGTAGTGTCTGTAAATTGAGAATGCTGTACTTCATTAGGAAGCAGCTGGAAACTGCAAGTAAGTGGTGCATAATCACGATATATCCTTATCTCCGTTAGGAAATGCTATTTTCAATAATTTTTGGAAGGGCGTGAAATAGCTCAGTTCTTTAAACATAAAACTTGATACAAAAAGAATCATTTGAATTTTTGTTCACATTTCATTGCATTGTAAATGAACAGCTCTTTCTCTTATAAAGCTGAATTCCAGGTTTTAAATTTGATTTGTCCTATCTCCAAAGTAATGTAAGTCTCCAATACCTAGCCCATAATATTAGCTAGTACCATTAAAGAAAACCTTTATGAAAGGAAGAAGCATGGTGTTCTTTTTATTATAGAACTATGGATCAGTTCTATCTTAGAGCGTTATCTGGCAGTGCCAGGGATACAGCTGTTCTGTCAAGTGTAAGAGAATTACTATGTAAGAGCCACCAGGTAGATCTGAGGGAAAGAAATGAGAGTAAAACTCAGGTTAAATCAAGTAAATGTATCCTTCAAACTTGATTTTCGGCTTTCTACTTTTATGAATAAAAAGCAAAATGTGAGAAAATAAACTTCTATAAATGATTTGGGCAATAAAAATACAAACTTTGGTATTATCGTGGAAGTGGACTACCTCCTACAACTAAAATAATTGATAATCATAACTGGTCTTCAAGATAATACGCCTGAGATACTTCAAGATTATGAATCATCTGGGAGGTAGTCATTCAGTTAACACATGTTTACTTGGTGTCTTCTATTTGCCAGACGGCTGTCACACAGGTGCTGGCAAACCATGGCAGCCCAGCAAGGAAGCTTTATGAGTGGAGCGGCGGGCAAGGGGGTTAACCATTGCCAAGGGCAGAATAAATAAGAGTGGGCCTTCAGCTCTGCACCGCGGAGGTCATCCATGACTGGGAGGAGTAGTTTTTGCACATTGGCAAGGAGGCCACAACCAGACCTCGGTGGGCCTAGGGCCGAAGAAGCGGACGTAGCACATGAGACAGCTTTTTGAAAACATGCGTCATGAGGAGGGGGAGAAGTGGGGCGGGAACTAGGAAGGGATGAGGGTTCAAAGGATAAGTTAGCATGGGTGCTTGTGTGAGCGGACATGCGCACGCGCGCGCGCACACACACACACACCCCATAGCTGTATGCTAATGCAAATGACACAACAGAGAAGGAGAGAATCATGCAGGAGAGGGAGGTGCAAGGGCAACAATCTCAAAAGATCAGAGGATGGAATCCAGAGCACTATTAGACTAGCCATTGCCAGGAGCTGGGACTCTTCACTGTAAAGGTGTGAAGACTTACCTGGAGATGCAACTACCTTTTTTAACAAATATTTATAAAGCACCTGTTACACGCTAGGCAACACCAATATAGCAGAGAGACCAAAAATCCTTACCTTCGTGAAACTTTCATTCGAATGGCGATTGGAGGAGATGGACAAATGGTAGCCAATCAGGTAAAATATGTAGTGCTGTCAAGAAAAGTAAAGCAGGGCAGTGGGGAAGGGGATATGGAGAGCCGGCATGGTCAGGGTCGTGAGGGCAGATTGCACTTCTCAGGAACTAGGAGATCCTGTATAGCTTTTATTGAATTTACTTTGTGGCTCTCACACACATTTATTTTTCAAAATCAGATTAAATGTGGCCTAATACCCACATGCCAGGGCTTGTGGGTAGTCAGCTGTCAACTTCATTTCACAGGTGCTGCCTTCTGAAGTACCTCAAGGCTTCCTAGCCCTGTACCTCTCCTTTAGAGTCCTTATCACAGGCGTTAGCCATGCTTTTTTATGTGATTATTTAATATATTTCTTCCCTACTAGACCGAAAACTCCAGGAAGGGAACTATGTCTGCTCTGGACAACTGCATCCCCAGAACCTAGCACAGTGTTAGCACAAAATAGGCCCCATTTGTTGAATGAATGAATGAATGAATGAATGAAAAATAAAAAGACTTTTCCACGAGCTACCTCTTAAAGAATCTTGTTTTATTATTTTGTGATCACTTTAAGTTTTCACTTTTCACTTTGTGTAGCTCATCTAGTAAATGGTCTTTTTCAAAGCAGGAAAGAAGTGTTTTTTAAACCAATTGGAATCTGTGAAAAAGCGCGGTCATCTGCTTTAAGTAATGGTTCTCCACCTAATTTTTTCCCACAGGGCCAATGCCAAAAGCGCCCCCCTGAATATAAATAAGGTCTCTAATAGCCTGATCAATTTTGGAAGAAAGTTGATTTCTCCGGCAATGGCCCCGGGCAGTGCGGGAGGCCCCGTGCCAGCAGGCGGTAGTGGTGGCGGCACCACTGCCGCGGCCCCCACCAGGACCTTAGCAGAGCTCCCCAGGCAGCACCTGCAGCAGCAGCAGCAGCAGCAGCACCTGCAGCAGCAGCAGCAGCAGCAGCAGCGACTGATGAAATCAGAAAGCATGCCAGTGCAGTTGAACAAAGGTAAGAAAAAACAAAACCACTCTCAGTGTAGCCTGCCATTTCCTTACCTGCCTATGAGGATCCAACCTCCTAGAAATAGAAATTAATGCAAAACCTAATTTTGAAAAACCTGTTATATTAGATTTTTAAAAGTTGGAATATCACGCACTATATTGTTTTTATAAGACCATTTTATGAAGTGATTTGTTAAGGTATTTCTTTAGCATCTACATCCTTGTATACTTGCGGATGCCCGTAGAGTGTGGCACAGACTGTCCCAGCACAGAACTGCGGGCAGTTGACGGATCCCTGCTAACGTATAGTGGTGTGTAATCTGAAGTGCGACGCTCCAACAGCATGGGCTTCGCTAGTCCTAGATTCGTCTGCGCGGCCAGTGTGGAGGAAGCGTGCTGCCACCAGGCTAGTGGTCACTCCTCCAGCCGCTCCACCCAGGAACGATATAAACTAGACCCTTACGGGGGGACAGGGAAGGCTAACCAGAATCTCTAGCAGCCAAAGTCAGTCTGTGAGCCCAGGCCCTACAGTTTAGAGCCTTAGAACATTAGAGCCCCGGAGACCTGGGCTCTCCAGTGCTCTCCCTGGATGAGCGCCCAGCCTCAAGTAAGCGCGAGGTCTATTTCTGGGCTTTTCCGGTGCTTCGACTCCTGAATGTATTCAACTCATAAGAGAGCCCTCCAGGTTCTTACTCAGAACCTTGATGCTCTTGTTTTTCACTCTTTTCAGAGACCTATATATTAAGTGCCCCTATTCATAGCAGATTAGAACCAGCTGCATTTATTTTTAGTGGTGGGACTCTGCTATCTGTACTAAAGAAGCAAGAAATAATAACATGATGGCAGAAAATCTACAAAATTCCATCCCACGACTTCAGAAAGCACAGAATCTGTGGCCATTCAGTGTCAGGGCAAATGTCCTGACCCATGCCTCGTTCACATCTTAAAGGGACCTTTGTTCTAGCCATGTATGTCATCTCAACTGGTGTTGACAGCAGCCACAGTAATACTGCATCAGAAGACCTTAAACCATCTTCCTAAACACTGTTTAAGAAGAGTGCATCTAAAATTGTTAAAAATTTTAAACTATTGGCATTTAAACTGGCAGACTTCGATGGATTTTATTCCCCAACAGCACAAAAGTAATGAGTATTGAATTCACTAATGAGTGTGTGTATGTTGATTCTTCTATTAGTTACAGGGTATTATCTATCATTGCTTATATGAAGTATTAGACTTTATATAGTTAGTATATAAGTTCCTGTTAGACTGTGGAGTTTGCCTTACATAAGAACGTTGTGTGTAAAACTGCATTCTTTTCTTTTTAATGTAGAGTTATCACACATGATTGAAAGAAAAGGAAACTTCAGATCATTAACACGTTGTAAATGTATTTTAATGCCAGGAGACATGCCCACTTTCAGAATGGAAATGAATGTTATTTTCTATATTTCTTAATTGTACTGTTTTATTGTTCTAACCAAATATGATTTCAGTATTGCTTTGATAACAAGCCATAGTCAGTAGTAATTCTAACTGATGGCAGGCAAATGAGTCAGAGAATCTCTTAATGCTGTAGCTTAAATCTTCTGAGGAACCAAGCCAAATGACTATAGAAATATAAAGTTGTATCTCTAAGGAAATGTCAAGTATTAATATCACAGTAAGTGAGAAGGGAGGCGCGCAAGGATGGAACGACTGATGAAAACGACGTCCCCAGTTATAAGGAGACAACAGAGCACTTAAGCAAAGTATTTGGAACATGAGTATCACTAAGGCATTTTGTAACTGATCCCCTGCTGAAAGAACGTCTCCTCGTTTCGCAGCTCTTCTTTCTCTCTCTGTTTTTTCCTCCTCGTGTCAATCACGAAAATCTTGTCTATCTTCATCTTAAAGATAAATATTCCTGCTAATGCCCTCCCTGCATCAGAGTTTGAATGAAACAGAGTAAAAGGGGAAGAGAACAGTGGATACAAGTAGAAACCAGCTAGGTTGCTGCTCCCCCTCACTGACTTGCCCGTGAAATGATCTGTAAGCACAGTCCTGAAACCTTGTGACCATGAGGTGGGCACTGCTCCCTGGGGAGCCTCCCAGCTCCAAACTTCTATAAAGATATATTTGGTAACTCTACAAGGAAAAAATAGTTCTTCAGAATTCGTTCTTTATGCTGGTGTTTCCCACAAGTAGCCTGCTGTGCTGTGACAGTGACAAATCTGCAGGTGTGTCACCTGGTCCCATAGATGGGTGAGCACAATATGTAGCCTGTCAGGAGGCTTGTGTTGGAATATGGCTTCCAGCTCTCTCAGAACACAGTCCTCTACGTACAGCTTTGAGGAGAGGGAATGTAATAGCCTTTTTAGTGTACTCCGCTGGAAAATTTGAAAGTTGTTTTGAAAAATGGCTGTTTCTAAAGATGAAAATGCTTATACTTCTCATAGGTTAGTTAACTCCCGATTATTTATACTTATGTAGGGTAACAGTTGTATGGAAAACCAAGAATTCATGCATGTGTTGCTGCAAATGCAGACTATAGTTGGTGTATGTGTTGGGAGTGGGGGTGTGTAAGAAAGAGGAGGGAGCACAGAGGTACCTCCATAATTTGCTGGTGATATTTAATATTAAAATGAGCTTTCAGTCTCTAAATATACACTAATAGGTAATCCAGAAGCAACAGAGAAAAATGGGTAATAGGCACAGAATTGAAAATCTCCTTCAAATATACAGAAAATGGGCACGCCATTCATCACTGAACAGAGTTAATTATATCATGAAAGTTGAGGACCTGATGGGTTCCACTGAAAGCTGCTTATCCCTGTTTGGAGTATGTACCTATTTATAGATTTTATTTCAGTTATGAGAGATACAGATTCACATATATAAATGCATGTACTATCAGTTGATGGGATCATATGATTACAACCCAGTAGTTTCCAGATAAGCTGGCTGCACTGTCAATTGTAATTGTAGCAAGTGGTCAAGGCACTTGAGGGTATGTTATATAATTCAAAAATTGATTTTTTTTTTTTTTTTTTTTTACTATCATATAAAAGCTACAGGGAAGAAAGTCTATTAATCCTGCATTATCAAACCTGGAAACTACACTGTCTTTTTAGAAGGTTTGGATTTTAGTTTATGAATTTCACGGTAACTTGGACCTTCAGATGCTGATACAGCCAGAGGATTAGTTCTGTTGACAGTGACTGTGCCTAATGTTGAACTTGGCCGGGAAGGAAGAAATCAGAGAACCGGAATGTCTTCCTTCTAAATGGGAGTGTCCCTCAAGTTCTTCACAGAACTTCCTGTTCTCCTTTTCTTTTCTCTCCTTTACTTTTAAAATCCACTCCCTCTTTCCCCATTTCCTTTGTTTTTTGAATATGAACACTTCTTTATTTTAAGCATTTACCATAGGTCCAATTTGTGAATGAAATCTCGCCTATCATAAGTATATCAAGTTTAAAGGGTATGCGGTTCACAGATTTATTTTTACATGTTGACATTTATAAGTTCATGTGGCAGCTTATGAAATCTTTTCAATACTTAACTATGAAATTAGACCCTGTTTAGGTATTTATCTTATCACACTGAAGAAACTGGTGTCAAGTTTAGTTAAAAATAATTTCTGTCTGTTATAGGAGAAAATGCATTTCAAAAAAAATGCCTGCTTTGTAATAAATGCATATTTACTTTGAGATAAAGAATTTTTCTTAAGGAAAATATAAAACCACATTACTATTTGTAGCATAATGCAATCTCAGAAAAATCTTTTGATTGCTCAAGTTTCCAATGCTTTAGGCTAACAGCAACTTGTTTTTTTCTCGAAGAAAAATATGCACAGAAGCTTTTTAGGAAATACTTTTAAAAAATTAATTCCTTTAAAAATATTTTATATTAATTTTTCTAAGATTGACTGTATTTTGTTTTACTGTGATTTTAGTAATTAGGTTGATAAAAGTATTACATTAAGTATGAAAAAAGTAAAGTTGACTTTTTTTTCATTTTTATGAAATCTAATTATTTTTTCTTATGAAATCCAGGCGATGTAGTTACAGGAAGCGATGCTCAGGTTACTGCTCCTGCCCAGACTCTAACTGACCTCCAAGGTACAGTTACCATGGCAACGTAGTATATCTTTTTGCCTGTAGTATTATCATTGCCTTCTCCAAAATTCCATTTTTCTTTTTGCCCACCCTCTCCATTCATACTGTCGATCAGTTCACTACCATTGTTCAGCCACTGAGTGGCACTGTTGTTTAGAACAAAAGTCCCCTCATGTCATATACCTTGGTGATGCCGGATCTGGCTGTGATGTGGATTTTTCTGAAGTTTACACCAGTCTCTTTTCTTGCAAAATATAGTCACTCTATATTTTGTGGTTATTTTAACACTATGCTTTATTTGGGAAGCTCACATTGAGGTGTTTTTTGTTTGTTTTTTTACTGTATAGGTGCTCTATGGCAGTATTTGACAAATCACTTCTGAGATTAGATGACTTATATGCTGTTTTTATGCATATTATTATATGTACTAGCCAGAAATATTTACTATATTTTACCTAAAAGAATTACAGCTTAATTTTGAAATAAGTTTCTAAGTACAGGCTTTGCATTATGAATCGTATTAACAGTGCAAGAAATCTCCGTATGTAATTGGAAGTGATTTAAAATAAAAAGATCACATTTAAATATCATAACTACTTGTTCAAAATCTGTATTTCAGGAATACAGAAATAATAGTAATTCACATTTAGCACCTCCTATGGAATTTTAACATGTATAAATATTAATCTTTTATTATATAATCTTTTAGATAAAATATGCTTTAGAGAGGATTTCTGTATTAAGTGGAAGCCTAGATTAATTTCAAGAATCTTCCATTCAAATTCAGATTGAAAAGATAGCAGTATTAATTAAAATTCATAATTACACCTTCCTAAATTTAAAATATCCACATAATATAGTCATGCTCTTAGTATCAAAATGCTGTTCTAGTAATGATATGTCTTCATAATATCTGTGCTTTTTTATAAATTAACAGAAAACAATATATATTGTGATTAGGAGAATGAGTGGTTTATTGGCTTCTTTTAAAAATACTGTGGCAGTAGAAGGATGAGATCTTACTTCTATATAGTTCTCTTTCACGGGTAGAGTTTCTGGCTATATTCAGGTAATTGAACCCTGACCTTTAAGGGCTTTTTCAGCTTGGGGATTCCATGAAGAACTGCTGTTTACCTTTCTTGGTGTCTTAAGTGATCTATATAAGAAAGAGGTGCAGTAGCATCTCTTAACCTTTGTCGGTTACTGTACTTAAATGAATATTACTGTAATCATCTGATATGGTGAGAATTCACAGCACTTAAATTGATTTCCTAAAATGAAACTCTGAGCTCCCCCAAGCAACTTAAAAAAAAATTTTTTTTTAATGTCTATTTATTTTTGAGAGAGAGAGACAGAGCATGATCAGGGGAGGGGCAGAGAGAGAGAGGGAGATGGAGACACTGAAACCAAAGCAAGCTCCAGGCTCTGAGCTGTCAGCACTGAGCCAGACCCAGGGCTCGAACCCACAAACCGCGAGATCATGACCTGATCTGAAGTGGGACACCTAACTGGCTGAGGCATCCAGGCACCCCTAGCAACTTTTTAACAAGTGTTTTGTTATTTAGTTTGCTCACTTTTTAAAGTTAGTTTACTGCAGAGGCTGTGGAATCTCAATTTATCCCTACGGAAAGAGAAAGATAAAGGCTCTCTGGCTTACTCTGACTTCTGCTTCTATGCTGTTGCTCAGTCTTTCTTTTCCTACAGACCAGAGCCACATGAACAATTTGCATTTTTTTTAAATGTTTTATTTATTTCTGAGAGAGAGAGAGAGAGAGAGTGTGTGTGTGAGCGTGAGCAGGGGAGGGTCAGAGAGAGAGGGAGATACAGAATCTGAAACAAGCTCCAGCCTCTGAGCTGGCGGTCAGCACAGAGCCCGACGCGGGGCCTGAACCCACAAACTGTGAGATCATGACCTGAGCTGAAGTTGGATGCTTAACCAACTGAGCCACCCAGGCACCCCGAACAATTTGCATTTTTAATAGAATCTTGCAGAAGGAGGTTGTATCATTTTGTTCAGATCACTTGTGTTACATAGGTAGAATCATCTTACTCATTTATTCGCCAGGTATTCGTTGAGTGCTTACTATGTGCCAGGCTCTGTTCTCATTGGTCTCTTGGCTTTCCCTGCAGCTTTGCATGGTTGCTTGGGCATCGAGCTGTGCGTTAGATGGACAGGCAGGCCTACACAGTCAGGAGCCAGCTCTGTTTCTGGATACCCAGCTCAGAATTCCTCCTGCTTGCTATGCTGTGACAGCGATTGTATCAGCCTGATAGGGAAGGCTCCAGCTGCTTTATGAGACATGAAGCCTAAATAAAAACCTTTCAATATGTGGTGATGATAGTGACAATGATGATAAGAAAATGAGACAGACAGTAACCTACCCTGATTTGGAGAAGTCACTTTTTGTTTTCTTCAGCATACTTCCTGCACAGCATCAAAAAGCAAGGGGAAGTAGAAGTCAACTAAAATAGTAGGGCAACAAAAAACTTTCTAACAATCTATGCTTAATAGGATCAGTAATACAAGAAGTTGAAGAACTTCATCAGAGGGGCCACACCCATTATATTCTCCTATAAAATATTTTAAGGGTAGATATACTTGTAAGGGAAAGGAAACTATCATTGAGACTTTCCCAAATATGGATTAATGGAGTAAATTTCAAGATCTGAAGTGAATAACAGTACTTTCAGTGATTCTTTGATAATGTTTTTCATGAGATTTTATATTTGTATCTTTACCTTTAAACACACAATTATATGAGTTTTATTTTTATCTTTATTTTTGAAGGAAAACACTGACTATAAAATGAAATCCCACAATTTAAGTCAATAAATAGTTTTTGGAAAATTGTTGGGAAGTTCCATTTTATATCTCTCAGTGTCGGTTGTGTTCATAAAAAATGTGCCATGGGAGAATTTGTTTTTGAAGACTTGAGTTTCTTGAAAATCAGTTTTGAGAATTGCCCACCTATCCCCAAAACTTATTTCAAGAGATATTTAGGAACCATAGAGCTTTAAAATAAAGGTACACACATGCAAACACACACATACACTCACATGCTCACAGAGCTTACTTCTAAAGAAAATTTAGAATTTTCAACAAAAGTATGTAAGTATTGTAACTTAATGGATCATTAGGGGAAAAATTAGATTTCTTAAGTTAGTGCCATAACCATTTTAAAAAAATTTAAATGTTTATTTTTGAGAAAGAGAGACTGCAAACAGGGGAGGGGTAGAGAGAGGAGGAGACACAGAACCCAAAGCAGGCTCTAGGCTCTGAGCTGTCAGCACAGAGCCCAATATAGGCCTCAATCCCATAAACCATAAGACCAAGACCTGAGCCGAAGTTGGAGGCTTAACCAACTGAGCCATCCAGAACCATTTTTAATACTTATACCTGTGTGTACATATTTATGTTGCAGATACAAATATATATAGGTATGTACATGCACATATACGTATCATTGTATAACATCAGGTTGGGTTTTTTTCCTTTTTTTTTTTTTCAATTTTCTTTTTTTTTTTTTTTTTTTTNAGCGGAGCAGGGGAGGGTCAGAGAGAGAGGGAGTCACAGACTGAAACAGGCTCCAGGCTCTGAGCTGGCAGTCAGCACAGAGCCCGACGCGGGGCTCGAACCCACGAACCGCGAGATCATGACCTAAGCGAAAGTCGGACGCTTAACCGACTAAGCCACCCAGGTGCCCCATTTTTTCAATTTTCTTTTAATGTTTATTTTCGAGAGAGAAAGACAGCATGAGTGGGGGAGGGGCAGGGAGAAAGAGGGAGACCCAGAATCCAAACCAGGCTCCAGGCTCTGAGCTGTCAGCACAGAGTTCCACGTGAGGCTGAAACCCATGAACTGGGAGATCATGACCTGAGCTGAAGTCAGAGGCTTCAACCACCCAGGTGCCCCTGCCATAACCATTTTTAATATTTATTCTGATGTGTACATATTTATGTTGCAGATACAAATATATATATATATACACATGCGTGCATGCACACCTAGATATCATTGTATAACATCAGGGTGTTTTTAAAAATTATAAAAGGGGGAAAAGGTCAAAACTCTCCCTGCCCAGATAACCACTGTTGACATTATTAAGGTAAATCTAAAACACATACAACATTAGACCATCCCAATTAAGTAAAGCCATTAAATGGGAAAAACAAACAAACAAAAAAAGTCTCTATTCCTATGACTTGTTTCTGCCAACCAATTTCCCTAAGGGTAGCCATTGTTAAGTTTTCTATAATTCCTTCTAGAAAAAAAATAGGTTTTAAACTGAGGAGTAACGTGCAAGTCACATTAGCGCAATACCAGCTCACATGTCTGGAGAGGACTCCCCTCTGGACGTTCGAGAACAAAGCACTAAAAGAAATGCCCCAGTGAGTGCAGATGACATGCAGCAAATTGGTAGAAGAAAGAAAAGAGAGGCCGAATTAATTGGAGTAAGACATAGTAACGATGGGACAAAGAGCTCCTACTCACAGGAGCCAGAGGAGAGACTGAGAAGCCAAAAGCGATCCTCATGAATGACCCTGTGTTGGCCACTCTGCTTGTTGTTGAGAAGCAATAGTCCTGAAGCAGGACAGGCAGTTCCGTTATGTTCTGGATAATCACCTTAAGGAGGCAGAGAAGCATAAGAGTACGTAAAACAAATTTGGGGAAGCATCAGTTAGAAAATGCATTTTTGTGGAAAACTTATTCCAAAAGACATTGAATAAATGAGTTTTTGGACCAAGAACAAGGACAGAATTTGCCCTTTACTTTCAAAAGACCTCATTCCATTTGTCTTTAATCTTAGCTCACATGTGCTACAGCCTTTATCGAGGGGCAGGCTGGTGCAACTCTCCCAGCATGGGCTCTGGAGTTGGGTCCGGGTTTGAATTCTGCCTCCATCACTGCCTTGCTGGGTGACCTAGGGATGTCACTCAACCTCGTATCTGGAAAGAAAGGAAAAGAACAGCTGCTTTAGGACTGGTTGTGGGAAGTTACCACCGCACCTGTCCCATAGTAAGGATTCATGGGTACAGCCTGCTTGGCTGGTGGTGATGAGGGTAGCGCTGGTATGTTTTTTCAAATATCTCTGGTTTTCAGAATCAAATTCTGAAAGACCCAACTCAACTCCTCCATCTTCTCTCTCTTTAATAATTATTTCTGGGGCATCTAGATGGCTTAGTCAGTTAAACGTCTAACTTCGGCTCAGGTCTTAATCGCACAGCTCATGAGTTCGAGCCGTGCGTCAGGCTCTGTGCTGACAGCTCAGAGCCTAGAACCTGCTTCAGATTCTGTGTCTTCTTCTCTCTCTGCCCCTCGCCCCCTACCTCTCTCTCAAAACTAAACATTAAAATTAAAAAATATTTCTGACATTCCTGACAAACCACATGTTTGCATGTAAGCACTGCATCCAACAGTGCTCAGACTCTGTGGTCAAGGTAGACGAGGTCTATTTCCAGGGGCTTCATTTAGAACCTGCTTCCATTCACTCGCCTGTGACACCAAGATGTATGTTTTTAATGCATAAACATCAGTCCTCTTGCTTTCTGTCACTCAGCTCTGTGAGGTGACAAAATATTACCAGACAGGGACCAGATGTCTTTCATTTTCTCTGATCCCCTTTTGGTGGCCACAGCACTAGGCTTCCCAGGCCTTTCCCTTTTTGCTCTTCTGAGCTATGCCTCCCCACCAGTGATCCCCCAGCCCGAGATTTCCTAGCCTTCTGAACGTTTTGCCTTTGGGTGTCCCGTGTCCAGCTCCTCCAGCTGGTCTCGGGTTTATAGGGGTTCTTTTTTGTCCATTTAGGAATACACGCCGGCCCCATTCTTAGTTCCCATTGAGTTGAATGAGAGAAAATTCACAAAAATATTATTCATGGGACATAGTAGGAGCTTAATAAATACTTTCTCCCCTTTCTCCTTCCCGGACATTCTGTAGGCTCCTCACGATGCCTTTAAGGCTCATTCAGTCAGCTTGGGCTCTTGACAAATAACCTTCACTCATATGTAGCACACACGGGACACAAAGCTTTTATTGAATGTTTCAGAGCGGAAAAGAGAATGAAGGAAAGATTTAATATACCTAGACACAGCCATAGCTAGTCCAGAAAGCATCTTTGTGCCCTTTAGAAAAATCTCCGCCTCCTGTGCAGATGTGGCTCACACCAGGGCACGCCTCTTAACAAGCAGAGCACTAGAGCAGGGCCTGGCTTCCAGCCATCCTGCTAGGCAGGGTTGTGGGTGCCTGTGTCGTAGGCCCGTGTGTGCTGAGGGCTAGTTGGCCAGGGTCTGTGGAAGGTGCAGCTAACGTGAGAATAACCCTCAGGGGAGAGGACTAGCAACTCAGTAACCCACAGTCCCGCGCAGTGCACCGCCTGCTCCAGATTTGGGAGTCACCACTGCGCTAGTGACGGATTCTGTCTGCTGAATACTTAGTGTATCATCTGGTATGCTAAGCCACCCGGAGCCTTTTATACACGTTACCCGCTTGGGACACAAAGCACGTATGAAGTAGGTGTCTCACTTACATAGATGAGAACCATGGCTTATGGACGGTCAGTGAATTGTTGAAGGCCCCACAGCTAGATAGCCATTGGGCTTAGTCCCAGCTCAGGTGGGTCAGACCCAGCAGGTGCCGGTTTGAGGCATTCTGCCTTGTAAACATCTCTCAAATCTACCACCACAGCCTTAGGTTCAGCCCTCGCGATCTCACGTGTGGGCACGTGCAGGAGATGCCTTATTCAGCCAAGCTCCTCTAATCCTCACGCTACTTTCTTCCTTAAAATCTGCAGTCTCTCTCATCATCTGCTGACAACTTAAAAGCCAGACCCCTCAGCATGGGAACAAAATGTGCTTCTTGATCTACCTGGCCCTATTTAGATCTCACCTTCCCTCGTTCCTCCCTCCCCCTGGGGCTGGATGACCAAGAGGGAAAATAAGCTCACATGTAGGGTACCAGCAGCTTTTTTTTTTTTTTAATATTTTATTTATTTTTGAGAGAGAGAGAGAGACAGCATGAGCAGGGGAGGGTCAGAGAGAGAGGGAGACACAGAATCCAAAGCCAACTCCAGGCCCTGAGCTAGCTGTCAGCGCAGAGCCTGATGCGGGGCTCGAACCCATGAACCGTGAGATCATGACCTGAGCCGAAGTCGGATGCTCAACCAACTGAGCCACCCAGGCGCCCCTACCAGCAGCTTTTAGAAAGAACTTCTTTGATTCTCTCTTTCCCCCAGAACACCCTTGAAATCATCATCAGATAAAAAAAGAAACACTCTGTTGGACTTAATCTTATTTTGCATTGGTATCGGTGTCATTTTCAATTTCATATGGACAGCAGGAAACTCCAAGGGATTCAGTCAAGCTCTGATTGAGCTAGATGTTCCCAGTAGTATTTACCAATCGCCTCAGTATGTACTGTGTTCTCTGCTAAACACGACCCTCCCCAAGCCACTGCGGCCACCACCACCACCACCACCCCTCACCACCTGCTCTTCAGGTTTGAAGATGGAGCACACACTTCTCATTGCCTGAGACAAGATCAGATGCTCCCTCTTTTGTGCTTCCAGAGTCCTGTCATTTACACTTCTGTGTTTGCTTTTATCACCTCGGATTGTAGGTTAGTTAGTGTACATAGAAGTCTGTATTTCTCTTGTACTGCTATTTTCAGAACTTTCTGAGAGCCCTTATTGTGGCCATCCCTCGTCCTTAGTGCTGGACAGAGTTCTGTGGACATTTCATACGATGCATCTGCATGGAGCTTGTTCCCCAGTGTCTGGTTATGAGTAAAGAGTATGTGCATGCCTGAGGTGGCCTAAGAATTTGGTCTCAATTTAGTACATTTAAAAATGCCTACAATGTAAAATAATTCTGAATAACTGTCATGAGTCAGAATTTCTGAGAAATAAACTATGAGATAAAGATTTGTGGGTAGGAAGCTTTGGGCGGGGCGGGGTGGGGGGTGCATCTGGGGAGCGAAAGGAGCAGCACTGAGCTGAGGAGGAGTGGAACTGCTTTGTAGTCGTGGCTGGACCCTCCGGGACCGGGCTGGCCTTTCAGAGTAGTCGGCCTCGAGGCAGGAGGGCCAGCCTTTATCTTTTGTCACCCGCAGCCAGTCACTGCATTGGAGCTCATCCGGGGAGGGGGCATGACCCTAGAGCAGCTCTCTTCAGCGGAGGGCCACTTCCAGAGAGGAGCTCATAAGAACCCACATCAGCCAGCACTGCCTGTGTCTTGGTCCTGCAGGGGGGTTTGGGCAGGGCACCACGGCAGTAGATTTAAGAATGTGCCTCTAAGAATAGGCTTTATGGTTTTTTTATTTTAATTTAAAAAAATTTAATGTTTATTTCTGAGAGAGGGACAGAGTGCAAGCAAGGGAGGGGAAGAGAGAGAAGGAGACAGAATCAGAAGCAGGCTTCAGGCTCTGAGTTGTCAGCACAGAGCCCGACGCAGGGCTCGAACTCATGAGCCGTGAGATCATGACCTGAGCCGAAGTCAGCCCCTTAACCGACTGAGCCACCCAGGTGCCCCTAGGCTTTAAGTTTTAATCCAGCAAAAGAAATTATTACTGTTGTTCCTATCCGTTAAAAGCTTTAAAAGGTTTATAGAGAGCTTCAGAACCGCTGTGCCACTTATGGGCTATAAGCTCGTTGAGAACACTGCCTCCTCGCCTCAGGAGCTGCCCAGGTGAGGCTTGGGTGTGCCACCCGGTGCTGTCTTGTGCTGTGTGTCCAAGGCGTGGGAAGGACAGCGAAGTCTAATATCTTTCTTCTGTCTCAAGGCAAGACTACTTGTGGTGCCTGGGCTTTCCCTTCAGATCTCCAGATGGAATGCTCCATCATCCCCTTTGGAAACATGTTCTAGTGACTCCATTTTCTTAAGGTCTAAATGTTTTACATTCCCAAAAGGGATGAAAATGTTAGTAAGCTAATTTCTGGAATTAAGGGGAAATAGTGCAGGGCTTTTCTGTGAGATATAGGGCAATCAATACTATCACTAAGTTGGAATTTGATAAATCAGAGATCCATTCTAAGAGGAGTTGACCTCTGGAAAGGCCATTTGCCAAGCAGAGTGATAGTTGCTGGGCATCACAGATACACCCACTCTATTGTAAGAACGGTCTAGAATGAGGCCCTGTGAGCCAGCGCCTTGTCCCATTTTTCAGATGCTTCTACCATAGGCGGGGTGTAGCCACATATCTGTTCTGCAGTTAGTGAAAAGGAAAGAGTCTCTTTTGAAAAACTGCTGAAGGATTTATACTTTTTAATATTAATATAATATGTAGTATAATAGTTTTCTGGTGTCTGTCACTGAGGGTGATTCCTTTAGTGAAGGAAAATCCAGTTATGTAACCTGTCATTTCTGAAAACTATATTTTGTTGTTGTTGGTTTTTATGTGTGCAACACTTAGACTATTGTAGCATAAATTACACGTGGAAAAGTACAGTGGCATTTCATTGTTTTTAAAAAATTGGCAGCTTTTCTGCTACGTAAAAATGTGTGCATTTTAGTAACTGCTCAGTGTCCTTACGTTAACAGTGCGAACAAAATTATGTACCATAATTGATCCTGTATTAAAGGCAGTGAATAAAGTAGCTTTAGTGAGAAAGGCTAGTGTTTCATTATTGCCTCTTAATTTTTCTTGCAGGACAAAGTTCTAAAACCATCAGTTCATCCCCAAGCACTGAAAGTTTGCCTGGAGGAAGAGAATTCACTGGCTCCCCACCTTCATCTGCTACTAAAAAGGATTCCTTTTTTAGCAACATCTCTCGGTCCCGCTCACACAGCAAAACTATGGGCAGAAAAGAATCTGTAAGTATTTAAGGACAGTTTTTCTTTTATCCTTCATTTTCCTCTAGAGTGCTGCATTTATTAAAACTTGTTTAGTGCCGAGTTCTATAAAGCTCTTAACGTGACTACAGACTAAAATGAATACCTTAATCAAATTATTTTAATTTTATCATCACTTAGTAATATTTTAAGGCCATGGCCTGCATTCCAGTAGAAAAGAGTAGCATCAATTTAAATAAAGTTGGATCCCAAATCTCTACTTTCTTCCTCTGCAAATGTGTTTTGGTCAAAGCCTATATTTTTGTTTTTGTTTTTTCCCCTAGAACGTATCAAATAGCATTATACCAAAAAATAGATTAAGTCACTTATAAAACAAACTAAGATGGGTTTTTTTTTTCAGTTTTATTTCTTGAAAAGTAAAAATAGTTATTTTACCTCTTGTTTTAAAAAGTTATGCAAGTTTATTTAAATGCTGGTCTATTGATAGCAGCTCTCAAAGGTTCTTTATATACGTTGTCCAGAAGGACATACATAAAGCATCTCAACCACTTTAAAATTCTGGTTGTGTCTGAAATTTTTTTAAACTAACTTCACAAAAAAATAAAACATTTAGCCACATCTTATTGGTAGTTTGGCACCTAATATTCTAATATAAAGAATCCACCTGCCGATTGGAACAGGATGCATGTGTAAGATCCTACAGAAAAGGACCTAGCTATTGGTGAAATAGCTTTAAATTAGAAGAAAAATAAAACAAAAAACTCGTTAAAACCTTTGAGGGATAACTGTTTATGAGACGTAGACTAGATAACAGTATGATGTCTGTCAGTATGACTGGGTATGACCTTGGGCAAGACACTCAGATTCCTGCTACTTCAGATTAAACCTCATCTGCAGATTAAACAACACACTTTGCTCTCCAAAGAGAAGAGTTCACTACTTAGTCTCCTGGGGTCCCTTCCACCGTGTAAGAACTGTGATTGGTAGACGAGCAGAATGGAACTCTCACTTAAAGATGGCAGCTCCAATGCAGGCAGTTAGCTCTGCTCCCTCCTAACCCCATTCCAAGGACAGTTAGGGTCATTAAAATGAAACCAGCCCTCAAATGAGAAGAAGACAGGAGAAAAGACTACAGCAACAAAAATTTGTTATTGTAAATCAGATGTTAAGTGGTAACTAACTTAACAGCCTAAGGAAGCTAAAGGCTAAGTCAGCAGTAGGTAAAAACCAAGAAGCAACTTGATTCACATTGTAAAGTCCTCTGGCGGCTCAGGAACTAGAAATGGAGTGAAATTGGAACTTGCTCTTCAAGAAACAAAGGGATGGATAAAATAGGTGATGGGGTTAAAGTGCACACTTGTGATGAGCACCAGGTGATGTATGGAATTGTTAAATCACTGTATTATATACCTGAAACTAATACAGCACTGTATGTTAACCATAGTGAAATTAAAACAAAAGACCAAAAAAAGTAGTAAGATTCCCTTTCCCACACTGGCAGAAGACTGGAGGTTTACTCCTCTGCAAAGTATAAAACAGAATGTCCCTGGACCGAGAGAGATCAGGCACACTGAGTATACCCTAAAGAAAAGGAATGATGAGTATATTTAAATAGTGGATCTGAGATCCCCACGCCTTACGCCACTTGCTTCCCAGGATACCAGTATGTCTATCCCTGCCGGCAGGAGATTAGAAGAGTTTTCTCTAGACAGAAGTTATAAATTTTTTCTTCTCCTCCTCCTCTTCCTCCTTTTTTTTTTTTTTTTTAAACAGAGGGAGCGGGCAGAGAGAGGGAGAGAAAGAATCTTAAACAGGCTCCACACTCAGCGCAGAGCCTATCACAGGGCTCAAGCTCCCAGGATTTGTCTTGCAACTCTGAGATCATGACCTGAGCCAAAACAGGAGTTGGATCCTTAACTGGCTGAGCCACCTAGATGCTCCCCAAATTATAAATTTTTAGAAACACAAATTACTGACTTTAGGGGTTCTCTGGGTAAACAACCAGTTCATTTTACAGTGAACCCAACCTCCACAGCTCTATCCAAACACAGAGCTTTCTTTTAGCTTTTAGTTCACACTATACATGAGCAGGAGAGTCAGGGATCACCAGACACTTGAGGAGAGCATCTGATAGCTACAGATAGGCAAAAACAAATAGAAGAAAGCAACTGGGAGAAAACAGTTGATGCAAGAAAAATAAAGAAGAACACATTCAGAGTTGAACAACAAAAGCTATTAGAAATCAAAATATGATATCTGAAGTGTAAAGCTGAGTAAAAGAGTTGGAATTGATAAAATTGAGGAAATCGCCCAAGAAAATAGAGTACAAGACAGAAATGGAAAGAGATATGAATAGAAGAAAATTAGAGAACCAACCTAAGAGGTTCAAACTCTAGAAAAATAGAAGTTCCAGAGAATAGAGAAAACGAAGAAAATAATCAAAAGTCCTATTAATTAAATGTTCACTAATGAAAGACCTGAGTTTTCAGATCAAAAAAGTCCATCAAAAGTCCCACACAAGTAAAATTAAACCCACATCCAGACATATCGCTGAAAAAGTTCAGAACTCCGAGAACAAAGAGATATCCTCCAAAATTGGAGAACTGAGGGAAAAGAAAGGTTGCCAAGAAAGGATCAGGAATTAGAATAACTACAAATTGTTCACAGCAACACCGGCAAGGCAATGGAGAAATACCTCTAAAGTTCTGAGAGAAAATTACTTCCAGCCTAGCTCTAATACCTAGACAAACTAATTAAGTGCGAGATTAGAATTAAGCCACTTTCATATATTCAAGATTCAAAAACTTTATCCTCATGCACCCATTCTCAGAATCCACTGGGGAATGTGCTTACAGAAATGAGGACATACACTCAGGATGGGGAGTTCCTGAGAACAAGGAAACAGAGTATCCAGAGCAAAACAAGAAGATTCCTCAGAATGATAATATGAGGAGATCCCAAGATTACATATAGCACAGCTATTTAGCAGGTCCAGAGAGCAGCAGCCAACCCAGGTTGGAACAAGTTAGAAGGTTCCAAAAAGTTTTCTCTAAAAGATGATATTTGGGGAACAACTAATATATTTGAACAAATTGAAAGATTTAAACTAGGGGTGAGTTTGGGTTTGAATTAACTTTGTAAAAACTAAGCCATTAAAAACAGGACAGCGGTGCCTAGGTGGCTCAGTCAGCTGAGTGTCCAGCTTCATCTCAGGTCATGATTTCATGGTTTGTGAATTCGAGCCCCATATCAGGCTCGCTGCCGTCCACACAGAGCTTGCTTCGGATCATCTGTCCCCCGCGCTCTCTCTGCCCCTCCTTTGCTCACACTCCTGCTCTCACTCTCTCTCAAACATTCATAAATATTAAAAAACAAAACAAAACACAGGACAAACTGTAACTCCAAAGAAAAACAGAGTGTCAGAAAAAGGAAAGAAAGGTTATGATAAACCTTGTAACTGAGCCATGACTAAAATTTACATAAACATTGTAATGAAAACCTATTGACTATGAATCTAACCAAAATCATGATAAAATTGGTTAGTAGACCTAAATAAATTGCTTTCTTCTTTAGTGGAAAATAAGTGTTTAATGCTTTCCAGAAAAATCAAGTGACAACAATATAAGCCAGAGATATCTAGATTTAAAAAAAAAATGGGTAAAAGAATTGAAAGTGGTTCCTTCTGGAGAGCAGGAAGTGGAGGGTGGAGGGTGGGGCTGTGTGAACTGTTTGTCATAACAGGCCTTTTTGAACCATATGACGCTTCAAAGTGTTACATATATAACTTAGATTAAAATTAATAACTAAAACTCACAACAAAAAACAGAACATAGTGGCATCATAAATTATAAGAGATGTCGCCTGTACAAAGAACGTGTCTATGAGGAAGCAGAATAAGGAGTAACAAATGAAAAAGGCTGTGGAGATACGTTCTATTTGTATTCTGTCATATTTTGGTGGCCTATGGATTGGTCGACAGCACCAATTAATCACTGTTCTTTATGGTGGTAACTGTGACTTAAAACTGATATGTCAGGCAAAAATAGAACTAGTGTAAGTATAACTGTTTATGTATACCTGTTATGAACAAAAAACAGAATGTAAAATCATTATTCAAAATTTAATGTATTTTCTAACTTGTGGGAAGTAGGCAGAAATTTTCAAGAGAAAGCCCCTGATTTTTCAAGTAATAGAGTATCTTATTCTCTTATGAAATAATGTAGTCTGTGCTCTTTGCCGGGTAATTCCATTTCTCCCCCATTCTGAGGTGCTTGGTAGGATTAGGCCTCCTTGTCAGAGCCACGTGACTCGTTCTGTCCAGTGAGTTGTGAGCGGAAATGACACTCGTGTGCTGCCACTAGCCACTACGTGATCTTCCTGAGCCCTCTCCTTTGCTATGCCAGCCGTAGGCAGACATGAAGTATGAATGAGAAGTAACTTTTATTGGTGTATGCTGAGACTGTTGCTTATCACAGCCTAATGGTACGCAGCTGGAAAATGTCCAGGCCCATAGCTAGGACGCATTCTCCCATGGGAGCCATATACCACCAATCTATGACAGGACACCCGCCATCCCTTGAACCTGTGTCGCTTTAATTTTCAGCCCAGCTTGGTATCATATAGGGGCATTCTGTGTCTTCCAAAAAGTTCAAGGTTGTTTTTCGTTAACGTCATCATCATCATCAGTTTCTCACAAAAGCAAGTAGTCAGAAGCTGAAGCAAAGATCTCTCTTGCTTTGGCTCCCCAAGAGCCATAAACTATATGTAACTTGCAGATTTCAAGACTCTGTTGATCGTTTAAAGTGGCCCAGGATCAAGAAATTGTTGATGTCAGTGAACCAAAGGTTAAAATAGCAGCTGAAAACAGACATTAAAACAAAATAATCTTGTAGTAGCTATCAACCTAAGTGTGGTGAGATCTGGTTATAATGGCTCTAATGTAATTGAGAGATGATCTTCAAAATCAATATGTGTGACACATTGTGAATAAGCATCATTTTTAGGTCCTAGAACTTATGTCC